GCTTATGGTAACTGTGTGATGAGGGAAGGAGCAGGGCAGCCAGAAGCCCGTATCCCAGAGACATTCAACCCCACAGAAGCCATCGAAGCCGAAAGAGCATGGGACCCCAGCCAATCTTCCTTCCCTTGACCCGCATCTTTCCTGCATATAGCCTGCCCTCCCGGTCATGCTTAGGTCGACATAAGGTTTAGCCCTCGGGAGCCCGGCCCAGGAGGAAAAGGGTGAAAAGGTGCGGTCAGGCTCTCTAATGCCTGAGGTCATCCAGCCCACAGCACCCCCTCCAGCCTGGTGTCGCCACTTACGTTTGATGAGGTATCCTGGGTAGTGAGCCGCGGCAACGACGTGGAGAACGGTGCAACCACACTCGTCCTTCTGGTTGATGCGGCCTTTCCACTCGGGCTTGTGGTCCATCAACCACCTGAAAAGATGGTTTTCCTCTGAAGGGAATTAAAATGAGTTCCTGATGTTATTTTCCACACACAGAAAATCAATCTGAAAGCACATCAACACGTCCCGTCCTGAGGGAGCCGAATGGGGACTCCGACACATGTGTGCCACTCACCACGGGAATGGGAGACACAGAGCTTGTAAACTAAAAGGATGAGTTCTAACTTCAGCCAGATTTCCGAGCAGCAGAGCCCAAGACCGGGGTTCTTGTACGTGTGAGTTGTTGACGGGGAGCTCAGGAGAAAGAGCGTGAGGGACGCAGGGCGGGGCAGGGGAAGGAGGCGAGCAGAGATGTGGTCTCCCCTGAGTCGGCCTCAGCCTGACCCCACAGGGAGCTCTGCAGCGTGGGCTGCACCACGGTGTTGACCCACGAGGAGGCAGGGGCTAACCTTGGTGTCAGTCAGTCAAGAGCTCCAGAGCACCTCTAGGGAGGGGGTGTGGTTGGGGGGGGGAGCGCCTCCAGAGAATGGGGGGCTGATTGGCCAAGAGCAGCTCTCTGGCCAAGGAGGCAGCTGTGGAACAGCAGGTGGGGATGGGCGCACTAGTCGTAAAGAGGCTCCAGGCAGCGCAACAGTGCCCGTGTCAGAAAGCAGGTCAGTATCTGAAAAGGTTACCCTAATCAATACTGTTAATAAGACTGTTAATCAAGGTTAATATTTTTTAATGTTTATTTCTAGAGAGAGCGCATGTGCGTGAGCGCACATGCAAGCAGGGGAGGGGCAGAAAGAGAGGGAGAGAATCTCAAGCAGGCTCCGCGCTCAGCTGGGCGCCCGGTGCGGGGCTTGATCCCATGACTGTGAGATCGTAACCTGAGCTGAAGTCAAGAGTCGGACGCTCAACTGACTGAGCCACCCAGGAGCCCCGATAGGACATATATTTAAAAGTTATTTTCCCAAGTTCCTTCCTTGGAGCTCCTGGGATCAAGGAAAGCCACACACTTCCGCCAACTCTTTGAACACGGTTTGTCACCACGTCAGAGTTTTCCTCTGAGAAACAAATCAGGGATAACCTTGAACGCTTGATCGTATTGACATCTGCCTGTACCCGTGGGAGCTAACGTAAAGAGCAGACACAGCGGGGAATCATGACTTTCACAACCAGAGGCACACTTCTCTGGGTTCCAGATTCCTAGTTTAAAACTGGGAGGATTGGGGGTGCCCGGATGGCTCCGTCGGTCGAGCGTCCGACGCTTGATTTCAGCTCAGGTCGTGATCCCACGGTCGTGGGATCGAGCCCAGAATTGGACTCCACACGGAGCGTGGAACCTGCTCAAGATTCTCTCTCTCTCCCGCTCTGCCCTTCAAAAATCAAAACTAAAAATTAAAAAAACTGAGAAGGATTGGACCAAATTGCTTTTAGTCAGACTTTACTTTTAAATGTTTGATCCACCAGTCCCTGCGCAAGAATAAAACATTTCATGGACTCCACAGTACATGAAATGGAAATCTGGTTAAAGGAAAGTGGGGGCCCAGGTCTTGAAGGCCCTGCCCACCCCCCTCACTCCTTCATTCCCAGGAGGGCAATCCAGCCTAGAAGAGGAAGACTGTCTGGACAATTCTCTTGCCTCTTCTGGCTCTAAAACAGTACGGGTAAATGTCTAACTCTGGTGCCGTACATGTTTGGAAAAGAAAAACAAGCTTTTATCTTGTGTGTGCGTGCGTGTGTGCGTGTGTGTGTGTGAATGATAAAATTTAAATATTTTCAAATTGAACTCCTATAGCCAAGTGGTGAAGACTTAAAAAAAAAAAAAAAGAATTCTATGAAAATCGGAGTCCTTTAAAAGAACCACAGCAGGCACTATCAACAACAGCCAGTGTTGAAGAGTGTTGAAGCAGTCGACTCTCCGGCTAGAGAGAAAATGAACCCGAACAAGGGGAAAGACCACACGTGCCTTCCGCGGCTCGGGGAGCTCCGCCCAGCAAAGGCTGTCTGTCCCAAGGTCCCTCCTCGGGTCTCAGAGCCCCTGTGCTGCCAGGATCTGTCTAGGAACACAGAATCCTTTCAGCTTGGGCCCCTGTAGCTACTAGATCCCGGGCGAAATAAAAACAAGGCTGTCTGGGGAGCCCGGGTGGCTCAGTCAGTTGAGCGTTTGACTTTGGCTCAGGTCATGATCTCACAGCTTGTGAGTTCGGCCCCGCATCGGACTCTGCACTCACAGCCTGGAGGTTGCTTGGCATTCTCTCTCTCCCTCTCTCTGTCTCTCCCTCTGCCCCTCTCCCCCTGCTCGCACCCTCTCTCTCTGTAAAATAAAAAAATAAAACGTTTTAAAACCAAAACCAAAACCAAACAATGCTATCTCCCAGCTGCCTTTATTCATCTGAATAATCAAACCATTTCAGTATTCAAATCGTTTGAACATTCCACCTTCAAGTGGCTAAATTCTGGCTAAATTCTGGTGGCTAAATTCAAGCGGCTAAATTCAGCAGAGCTCGGAGCTCAGAGCCGGGAGGGCGGCTTGGGTGGGGTGAACCAGAAGAACACTCACTTGCTTGGATACAGAGCCGCATGAGGGCATGAAGAGGGTATGGTCCTATCGTCTCAATACTCGCACCAATGGAGACGAGCCACTGCACTAGCTTGGGCACCTGTTCCATATTCTCGTAAAGCCCAATGAAGACATATTTCTGGGGGGGAAGAAAAACACAAAGGAAGAATCATGGAAGTCACTACATCAATATTAAACGTCAAACCCCTTCACTCATAAAATTTGGGATCAGCAAAACCTAGATTCGCTGCGGCCCATGCCTGAGATCATTATAAACAACCGATATGCAGTGAGGCAGCTGAAGTCCCCTTATACAAGCAGAGGTCCCAAATACAAGCCCCAAGTGGCCTGACTTAAAACCGTATGTTTCAAGAAGCCATCTCACCTCAAAGAGACTCTTCAGTGATAACTCTGGGACATGGATATTTTGGGGTAGCCGGTCCTTTCTCGCTGACAGAAGTAGGAACGACTGGTGAGAAGGGAGAAAGAGAAAAACCTGGAATAATAATGCTCTCCACATAGGTTATTGGAACAAACGTTACCTTCGGGGTGAAAACAAACAAGCAAAAACCAAAACAAAATACCCTCCAGCCCTATCTCTCTCTCTCTCTCTTTTTTTTAAATGTTTACTTGTTTTTGAGAGAGAGACAGAGCGAGCACAAGCCGGGGGAGGGGCAGAGAGAGATGGGGACGGAGAATATGAAGCACGCTCTGTGATGACAGCAGACAGCCTGATGCGAGGCTCGAACTGACAAACTGAGATCATGACCTGAGCTGAAGTCAGATGCTTAACCAGCTGAGCCACCCAGGCGCCCCAACCCCGTCGCTCTTTTTAAGTTACGTGCCAAGCTTTACAGCCTGAGCCATGATAATCGAAGTCCTTCCGTCCGGCCGATGTCCTGCTCCTGCTGACAGCTAAGCTCTCTCCACATTTCCTCGAAGCCTGCTGCAGACGGGAGCAGCTGACGTTAAGCAGCGTTGCCGAGGGCAGAGTGGGTAAAAAAGTGATTCTCTGCAAAATTCTTAAAGCCGAGCAAGCAGAGGAATCCCATCCTTCACAAGCATCTCATCCCAATTAATTCTGTAGCACACGGGTGTTTCATAAGCCCCAAGTGTTTGGGGTCCGTTAGACCCCGCCGAGCAGAGTGTGCTGGAAAGGTCCCTATCAGCGAGTGACAGCCGGCTGCCCATCTCTCCCCAATTCCACACCCGGTAGCCCTGTTCGTGGCTTCAGGTTGGCCATGGCTGGAGTACTGATGCTACGAAGATTGACAAACACTACAAATCAGGCCTTTTTCTCGCAGAGAGCCAGTTGTTGAACCACTGACCCAAACTAGAGTCAGTGAAGAAACTGAATCCCTCAGAAAGGTTAAGCAATTTGTCCTAGGTCACACAGAGAGGTCCCTCCTGAGACCATCCAGGTGTGCCAACAGGTCTGAGGGCTCCAGGTTCTGGTATGGCCGTGACTGGGGCCCGGGCTCCGCATCAGTCTCCCTCATGTATGCCCAGTGGACATGGGGACCACAGCGACTGAGCCTATGGCCACATCTTGTTTGCAGGTTCCTTCAGCCTGCTGCCCTCTCTTTACTGCTCACCCTGAACACACAGGCCCCAATCTCAGATGACATACTCAGGGTTCTAACAATCCTGATTGCTGACCCGGCTTCTTTTTTTTTTTTTTTTTTTTTTTGGTCTGTTTCCAATATGTGAAAATGACCTGGGCCCCACTGCTGGAGTATTGGACCAAGTGCACCTGCCCCTTGGGCTGCCTTCTTGGGCCTTCCCTTCCCTACCTACCTGCTTTCTCAAGACCTTGGAATATGGGACTGAGTTTCAGGGAACTCGTGGCTGGATTTTAGCGGATGTCCCATGAACCCCCTGAAACTATAGCCATAACTGTGTGTGTATAAAATTAGGACCCCATAGATTTCATTAGATTTCCGGTGGAATCCACGAACTTTCTAAAAATTGAAGAATTCTGTCTTCTAAAGTCATTTGCCCTGCCTAGCTCTAGAGTCCTTACGGCTTGCCCTGGATTTTAGTGACTTTTCTGGTCTGCCAGGCTTTAGAAAGCCCAGCAGGCCCTTCCTGACCTAACTCCCATCCTCGGCCGGCTCTTTTCACGAGCACAGAGAGGCCACCATCCATGACAACTATGCACTGGGCACGTAGCACAGCCAGCTACCATGAAACTCCATTAGCTCAGTGCCTGGCACATCGTAAGCCCCTGACAAGCATTAGCTAATATTATTATTAGGCGTTCTTGCTCCGGTATTTCTAAACTTCACCAAAGTCCCGAGGGAGTAAGTTTATAGCCTGAAACTTACAAACGCGGAAATGAAGCCCAGAGGGGAAATAATTGGTCCAAAACAGAAAGTGCAAGATGATGATTCGAGGAGGCATCTGTGTCACACCAAAGCCCAGGCTGCGGGTGCGCTGGGCACCGGGAATCCCTTCCACGGATTCCCCGCCTCGGGCCGGCTCCTGCAGCCTCACTGCTACCTGCGGGCAGCGGTCCCTTAAGCCTACACGGAAGCGCGGGGGGCAGCACAGGCAGGTCTCCTGAGCCCACACTAGCAAATGCAATATAGAAGAGATTGCATGAGGGCGCCTGGGTGGCTCGGTTGCTTAAGTGTCCGATGCTTGATTCTAGCCCAGGTCATGAGCTCACGGTTTGTGAGTTCGAGCCCCACATCGGGAGGGAGTCATAGCGTGGAGTCTGTGTGGGATTCTCTCTCTCTCCCTCCTTTGCTGCCCTTCCCCTGCTTGCGTGCTCTGCCTCTCTCTCTCTCTCTCAAAATGAATAAGTAAACATTAAAAAAAGATTATATGAAGATGAACATTCCAAAATTTATTTTCCTCATTCCATATTACCATTGGTATCTGGACTTTACACTTCTGGGATGACCATGGAGACATAGCGCAAGGAGAGAGGGTGATACACGTTAGCTAATATTATTATAGGTGTTCTGAATACGTTTCCTATCTTAAAAAAAAACTGGCTAATTAATATACCTCAGTGACTTTCCATTTTTAATGATGTGTCAGTTAAAAAGTTATTTTGGCATCAAGATAAACAAATAATAAATTACAATCCCCCTCCCCAGTGCCAGCAGAAAGAATCTGTTTGATCAAGAATGTGCTTTTCCCACAAGACAGTCATCTCTTTTACTTACGTGCCATAATCCTTTCTTTGCCAACTTTTCTATTACAGATTGCCACACTTCTGTTGAGAATCCAGTAGTAAAAATATGATCGAAACAGGGCAAGAAACTTTGCAAAACAATGGGGTCGCCTGAAAGAAAGTTCCATAGTTTAGAAATTTTAACCCAGGCAGAGTCTAGAACATTTGGGAAAAGGTCCTCCATTTAGGACCACACATAAACAAATGGCAAATTAAAGATATCAGAACGAGAAGCATTCTCGGGCACCAGGGTGGCTTGGTCAGTTGAGCCTCCGACTCTTGACTTAGGCTCAAGTCATGATCTCATGGTTTGTGGGTTAGAGCCCCACTCTGACAGTGAAGAGCCTACCTGGGATTCTCTCTCCCCCTCTCTCTCTCTGCCCCTCCCCTGCTCACACATACACACACACACACACTCTCTCAAAATAAATAAACTTTTTAAAAAAGAAAAAAGAAAGAGAGGCCCTTTCAAAGTAAAAGTCCTATATAATTGACTGAAGCAGCAATCATTTTAAGTTCACCTATAAACTCAATGCCCCAAGGGTTAAGCGGTATAATGTGAGCTAATACTCACTTAGCTCTTCTATATGTGAAGCCCAGTGATATGTGCTAATATTTAATCCCTCAAACATACCAACAAGGCACTGCCTATTACCTCCACTTAGAGAGGAAGAAATAGAAGCTCAAAAAAGTTAAAAAAAAAAACAACTCACTTCCCTTAAGAAAGATGTGACATCATATGAGGCATGTTAAGATACAAAACATAGGTGCCTGGGTGGCGCAGTCGGTTGAGCGTCCGACTTCAGCCAGGTCACGATCTCATGTCCGTGAGTTCGAGCCCGTCAGTAATGATGGGGCTCTGGAGCCTGAGCTCAGAGCCTGGAGCCTGTTTCGATTCTGTGTCTCCTCTTTCTCTCTGCCCCTCCCCGTTCATGCTCTGTCTCTCTGTCCCAAAATAAATAAACGTTGAAAAAAACAAAATAAAAAAAAAAAAAAAAGATACAAAACATATGAACATAAGGGAAGGGAAGCAAAACTAATATAACAGGGAGGGGGACAAAACATAAGCGACTCTTCAATATGGAGAACAAACAGAGGGTTGCTGGAGGGGTGGTGGGAGGGGGAATGGGCTCAATGCGTCAGGGGCATTAAGGAATATACTCCCGAAATCATTGTTGACTAGATGCTAACTAACTTGGATGTAAATTTAAAAAATAAAGAAATTATAAAAAAAAAAAAAGAAGAAGAAGAAAGAGAAAGAAAGATGTGACAAATATTATCCTCACCCAACCAATGAGAAACGGAGACAAGCGAGGCAAGGCTTCATGGCATATCACGCAACCAGTTAACGACAAAAACAGAGATGGGAACCCAGATCCACCAACTCTCTTATTCAACACACATTCTTCTAACCTAGTGGCCCAATGCATCTCATGATCCTCCAAAAGCCACATTTCTCAAACCCATGGGTGAGATCATCTAAGGGGATGAGGCAGGTGCCAGAATAGCATGGCACCTCCTCCAGGATTATCAATTTCCACAGACAGGTAACTATCAAAATAAATAGATGTTGCACAAAAGGATACAAAATTTCCATAAGCATATTTTTCAAATTTTAGAAATCGGGCCGTGGGCATCCATTCACCCTCCAAACAGGAGTCGTTTGGTATAAAAGTCTGGAATGAGTTGCCCTACAGAGTCCTACGACATGCCGCTCTCAGGATGGGAGCAGAATGGAAACCGTCCAGATTTCTTAGGGGAGCAGTCGCCAAGAACGAACAGTGACTTCACAAAGATGCAGAAAAGACATGAGGGATCGAAGGGGAATGGCCAAGCCATCAGGTTCAGAGGAATGGGACACAGGCTCCATCATGGCAGTGAAAGGGTGCCTGGAAAGCTGTGACCCATCAGCACTCATCTGGGCATCTTCCATTTCTCTGCTGGGTGGACGTGGCTGTGTCTACCTCCAACCCCCCCCCATTCACTGCCTGATGCGGCTCTCACCCCCCATCTGTGCCAAACTTGCCAAAATCTGTGGCATGCTGGCCACAGACCACACAAGTTGCTCTCCCACACTCCCAGTGGGAACAGGTGGCTCTGTCACAGTTGAATTTATTTCCCCGCCTCTGAAAGCCAAAGACCATTTGCCCACAGTTCTAACAGGTGCCATGTTTCACATCCTAACATCTCTAGAATCGGGACGTGTGTGACGATTGAGTTTGTCTCTTAGTGGCAAAGCATTTGTTTCAGTGGCACATCTTAAATGGGTACAATCTTAAATGTGATCAAACACAATATATAAAACAATGGGCTGGTCATTGGCAGAACTTTTAGACTGCGCCAAGATAAACACAGAAAGAGTTCCGTGGTCACTGGCAGGGAGTACATTACATTGTGTTACGGCTTTCTGTCTTTGTCTAATCCAGGCCACTGACAAAGCCGGCTCACAGGCCAGGTCATTAGAGTAATAACTCAAGGCAGTGACGCAGAAAGCCCCCGTGCGTCACTGACCATAGCGGCCGAGACGCCGGGCACCGCGGCAGCTTCCGCGGGACCCTCCATCAGCCCTTCCGGGCTATTCTGACAGCGAACAAAAATATTGCCTCCATGTATGGGATAAATCCATGCAAAAATCATAGGAAAGAGCACAACTCACATAAAACGAGTAGTATGAATCGGGAAAGATCTCTCAGTAGCAACACAGAAAACTGAAGTCTGAAACAAGAGGGGCGGAGCTCTAAGTGATTTCTGCAAAACGATTTCGGTGTTTTTACAAGAACCTGAGCCACCCCAACTTCCAAAATGCTTTCTAATGTGAAAATCAGTTTCATTCAAACTGCATACATCAGCCACAAAGAAACCCCCTGGAATTATCTCTCCAGGAGCCATTCAAATAAAATAACAAGGGCATAGAGAGAGAGAAAGAAAGAAAGAAAGAAAGAAAGAAAGAAAGAAAGAAAGAAAGAAAGAAAGAAAGAAAGAAAAAGAGCGGGGGGAGAAAGAAAGAAAGGAGGGAAGAGAAAGACAGAAGGAAGGAAGGAAGGAAGGGAGGGAGGAAGGAAGGGAGGAAGGGAGGGAGGAAGGAAGGGAAAAGGGGGGGAAGAAAGGAAGGAAAGAAGGAAGGAAGGAAGGGAGGGAGGCACAACTGTGGATTCAAACAGTTTGCTATACAGCCAAA